TTCGAGAGCTTTAGTCTCTGTCTGTAAGCAGGAACCAGATGTATCATGGAGTGATCTGAGAAGCCGAGGGCTGGCTTGGGAACAGAGCGAAAAGCTCCGCGTACGGTGGTGTAACAGTGATCCAGAGTGTTCTCCTCTCTGGTCGGGCATTTGATAAACTGTCTGTATTTGGGTAATTCCTGGCTCAAGTTTCCCTTGTTAAAATCCCCCAGGATAATAATCAGAGAGTCCGGGTATAAACGTTCCATACACAGTACTTGCTCTGCGAGTGCGCGCTGAGCCTCGCGCGCGTCCGCGCATGGCGGTATGTAAACAGAGGCAAGAATGAATGAAACAATTTCACGCGGGGAGTAATATGGTTTACAATGAATGAAAAGAGCAGGTAAAGTATTCCAGAGCAGGAGAGCAGTGCTTGGAGATCACTGTCACATCGTTACACCAGTTTGTATTGACGTAGCAACACAGCCCACCGCCTCTGCTCTTCCCTGAGAGCGCACAATGGCGATCCGCGCGGAACAGCCCAAAGCCCTGCAGTTCCAGAGCGCAGTCCGGGATCCGCTCATTTAGCCAGGTCTCAGTGAAGCAGAGGACACAGGATGTGGCGAAGTCCTTGTTTCTTCTCATGAGCAGGCTGAGTTCGTCCATCTTATTGCCCAGTGAGCGTACGTTGGAGAGAAAAAGGCCGGGGAGAGCCGTGCGCGCTCCTCTCCTCCTAAGACGCACGAGCAGGCCTCCGCGCTTTCCCCTTTTACGGACCCACACTTTTTTGGCTAGAACATGAACTAAATCAGCCGCAGATGCCAAGAAAACAGGCAATAGGTCCATGGGAACGGTGGGTCGGATGTTCATAAGTTCCTCACGGGTGTAGGAACAGCCAGATGCACAGTTAAAAAGTAAAAACAAAAGAAAAAGAGAGCAGCAAAGAGCCATGTCGACCGTACGAGGCGCCATCTTGTTAGAGAGCTAATATGCTAATGATGCTAAGGAGAGAGCACAACACTGAACTCTCCTGAGGAAATGGGTGGAGTCTGCTCTGCTCCTCCTGGGTCTGACAGAAAACCTGCAGCCACAGCGGCCCTTTCTGGACCGGTTTGGACACCTCTGTAGAGTCTGACTCTGGGTTCGCATGATGCAGCCTCAGCTCTGTCTCCTTCACTTTGTTCCAGATGCTGCGTCTTCACACCTGCTTCTCACACGTTTTAATGTGTTTATGAAGAGGTGACCTATGAGTAAAAGACTCTCCACACTTTTCACAGACAAATGGTTTCTCTCCAGTGTGGATCCTCTGATGGTCTTTCAGAGAACCATTGTGAGAAAAACTTTGATCACAGACGTCACAGCTGAAGGGCTTTTCTCCAGTGTGGATTCTTTTGTGACTCTTAAGATTTCCTCTTGTGGAAAAACTTGTTCCACATAGATCACACTCGTACGGCTTCTCTCCAGTGTGGCTCCGATGGTGAACTGTGCAATCTGATGCAGTTCTAAAAGTTTTACTGCAGAGGTCACATGCAAATGGTTTTTCTCCAGTGTGAATTCTCTCATGACTTTTGTAGGAGGAAGATACTGCAAACTCCTTCCCACAGTCTCCACAGACAAATGGTTTTTCTCCAGTGTGGATTCTGTAGTGCTGAGTGAGGTGAGATAAACGTGTAAAAGTCTTTTCACACTGGTCACATTGGTGAAGTCTCTCTCCCGTGTGGACATGCTGATGTCGTGAGAGCTGGTCTTTTTTCCTAAACAATTGTCCACACTGGTCACACTCAAATGGTTTCTCTCCTGTATGGATCCTCTGATGATCTCTGAGAGTAACCTCTTGAGTAAAACTCTGACCACAGAAGTCCACAGCTGAAGGGCTTTTCTCCAGTGTGGATTCTGCTGTGGCGCTTGAGATCTTCTTTTCTAGTAAAACCTGTTCACACAGAATCACACTCGTATGGTTTTTCTCCAGTGTGAGTTCTGTAGTGGATCTTTAGTGCAGAAGCAGAGCAGCAGGTCTTTCCACACAGATCACAGGTGACCCCCATTCTGTAGATCAGCCATTCCCAAACTCAGTAACACCGAGGCCCCCTTAAAAATCTGACGGGTCTGCGTGGCCCCCCAAAATAATATCCAAGAAGACAACATTAAGAATAGGCTCTTCTGATTATTTTATTTTGGGGAAATAGCCTTTGCTACAAACATTGTAATACAAAAATGATTACAGAGGATTATTCAAGTCAAATAATGAACACAAATATTTTAATATTACAAACAAAACATTATAAATTTAACATTAAATAATTATATTTTTTTTTTTATGACCTCCCGCGGCCCCCCTGCAGTACCCTCGCGGCCCACCAGGGGGCCGCGGACCCCACTTTGGGAGACACTGCTGTAGATGGACTTTGTAGATCTGCAACAAACACAGAAAAACTTTTACACATTCTATCAACAAATGAACAAGAGGCCAATATCAGGATGTGTCTTCTTGTAAATGTTCAGTTTTTGACACAAACTGCTTCTTTTCTGACTTGAACGAAGTGAATATCTTTTCAGCCTCGCTCCCCATCGAATAGATGAGCGAACTCACTTGAATTTCCTTTCCCTGTCCTTGCTGAGTTTTGTTGCAAGCCGATAGCGGGAAAATCTCTGTTTCCATTCGAGCCATTCAGCAGGTCGGTCAAACTTAAATTCACTCGGTGGGTTAAACTTCGCCATCGCGGTGATATCCTGGCTGCATGCGGGCCACTTCTGACACCATGTAATGTATGTATTAGCTTATACGAAATATATAAAGAGACGAGACCAGGAGCTTACTTCATGTGTACTTTTACTGAACAGAATGCCGCGTAACACTCGTTTACATGGGGTAAAGCGCATCCCACAATACCTTGCGCAGGTGTCTCTTAAAGAGACCGTACATGTATTCCATACATTACAACGTGGTTAACCGGTTTCAACCGGTTAATGAGGCTCGGTGGTCGGTCATGACAATTCATCGTTTTTTACATCCCTATTTGATAGAAAGAAGCACTTCAACAAAAAAGATCCCTTTATCCTCCACAATTATCATGTGTTGCAGCCTCTGGTCTGAGAGTTTGGGAGAGGTTTGTGGTGTGTTGTGTAGAAATGAACAAAGTAGATTAATGTTATGTGTTAATTGTATACACCTATGTTTTAGGGACGTCTAAATTATTGCGTTAACGCACGTTAATTAATTATTTTCATTAATCGCGTTAAAAAAAGTAACGCAATTAACGCATCCCCGTAAAAACACTCAGATGTGTGTGTGAGTGAAATGGTGACAGAGCAGGAAGGCCCTCTGGGAATCCAAGTTTTAAAAGAATACAACCATGACCGCTGTTGTTTCCTGTAGGAACTCAGCGAGCTGAGCTGCGGGCGCTCTGGACGGCGGTTCCCACCTCCAGCGGCTGTGATCACGGCAAACGGCGCCGTAGTGTGATCATATCCAAGACCATACAGATTGAGCGTGTCTTTGCGTAACCAGTGCATAAAATAAATACAGCGCTGAAGCTGGACTGCGGAGCCTCAGTCTCCTCCGTGTCTTCTCCCGAAGCGCACTCGCTAAATTAAAGCTGAGGTACCTAATTTTACCTTCCACTACCAGTTCATGTTAGTTGTGCTCAAACGTAATGGTGTGAGCAAATCAAACAGATTTAATGACATTCTGCTTCAGACTGTTTTGAAATGTCCCTCATCTGTAACAAACAATGGTTTTGGTCTGAGTCTAAACAGAAAGACAGAATGTTAATAATGTTAATTCCATTTTATATGGATTTATTGTTATAATAAACAAATACAGTACATATGTTCACTAAGCTGTCATTTATCTTTCCATTGAAACAACCATTTACACAAAAATATGGCATCATTTTGTCGATTGTTCAAAATGCGATTAATTACAATTAATACATTTTTAAGCTGTAATTAACTCGATTAAAAACGTAATCGTTTGACAGCCCTACTATATTTACATTTTTTTTTTTTCAAATTGTTCTTACTACTGTAGTCGTTGTTTTCAAATAATTTCATATGAAAGAAATAGCTTGAACGGATTTCTATGAAATAAAATATTTGTACGATGTCCGGAGTCCGGACCTTGATCTGTTGAACTGATCAAGTAAGTGGACCTCGTGCATACACCAGGGGGTCCACTCCTAGAGGAGACGTGACCTGTTCGCAACTAGCCTCACGCAAGTTTCAGCACTTTTTATGGCCAGAATTCATACACAATCTGAATCAATGCGCTCAATTTTTCAATTAAATCAGGGGTTTTAATACAACTTTTATGTAGTAATGCGCATTTTTATGAGCCAATGAACCATTTTCTGTTTCTGAACAAGAGGCCCTCTTTTTGCTACTGTCTACTACAGAAAGAAAGAATGTTAATAATGTGTGAAGAAAAAGGTGTGAATTCTCTGCCTGATCTGACCCCCACCTCCCCGCTGCACCCCGCACATACATTTGGACATGCGCCAAGAACAAACGTAAACAACAATGGCGGTGGGTGCACTTACTAGCTAGTAAAGAATTCTACTCCTTCGTTCATCCAAACGAAACCACGCAAAGCTCTAGTTTCAGTTTCCATTTCCAGAGAGCGCGCAGTTAACGCGTACGCGCTGTTTACGCCTACTGTGTACATTCCCTATTAGCGTGACGCCAGTTCCACTCACAGAACGAGGACAAGAGCAAAATGGAGGCAGAAAGTGGCTATATACCTGCTCTGGCTGTAACTGCAGAGACAGCAAAACAGCCGACGCGACGCAACAGTCAGGAAGAGAAGAGGGAACTAAAGCAAAAAAATGATCAAAGAAGATATCAAGCCCGGGTGAACATAGCTAGCTTACATTGTATCCTCTGGAGAGACCTGCGGGTGCGGGACCGCCTCGGACTCTCATTTTAATGCGTTTTAATGACGCTTTATTCCCTCATCCCCCCTCTACTCTTCCTCCCCTCATACTCCCCCTTCTCCTCTCCCTCTTCTCATCCCCGTCCCTCTCCTACTCCCCATCCTTCTCCTCCTTCTCCTCCCCCTCGTTCCTCCTCCCCCCCTCTCTGCCTCCTCCTTCCACTGGAAGCTCCATGGCCGGGTTGAGAAGATTGATGTGTGTTGTCAGTGATAGGAAGTGGGAGGCGAGGTCCACATGGCTGGGGCTCGACGGGACACTTGCATAGTTTGGCTCGAGTTATTCAGGAGGGAGAGCAGCCTAATGGTGAGAACCTCTGTCACGAAGAAGGTTCCCAGCAAGAAGGGAAAAAGAGAGAAGGGAGAGGATAGAGAGAGAGGGGGGTGCTCTTATGTGTGGGCAGTCACTGTTCAACAATGTGCTGTGTTCACGCCCCCCCCCCCTGAGCAGCGCTCTGATTGTGGCTCCTGCCATGTGAGGACATTCGCATGATATGATTGTTTACTTGTCACTAAAAGTATTTAGGTACACCTAAAGTAAGTATTTACTGCTGAAGTCGGTAAAGCTGTGTTTAGTTTGTGGGGAGCAGACGGTGTGTAGGGAGCACAATGTGAGTCTGCTTCACCAGGTCTCTGGTCTCTCTCTCTCTCTGGTCTCTCTCTCTCTCTGGTCTCTCTCTCTGCTTCACCAGACAAAGCAGAGAAATATAAAAACAAGAATGATTGTGAAGTGGACATTGAGCGCTTTGCTCGATAGCTGCGAAAGTAATAAGACTTTGACTAAGCATTCTGGGATGCAGCAAGCTAGTCCAGCTTTGTGATATCCCTCTCTCTGGTCTCTCTCTCTCTCTCTGGTCTCTCTCTCTCTGGTCTCTCTCTCTCTCTCTGGTCTCTCTCTCTCTGTCTCTCTCTCTCTCTCTCTGGTCTCTCTCTGGTCTCTCTCTCTCTGTCTCTCTCTCTCTCTCTCTGGTCTCTCTCTCTCTGGTCTCTCTCTGTCTCTCTCTCTGGTCTCTCTCTCTCTCTCTCTGGTCTCTCTCTGTCTCTCTCTGTCTCTCTCTCTCTCTCTCTCTGGTCTCTCTCTCTCTCTGTCTCTCTCTGTCTCTCTCTCTCTCTCTCTGATCTCTCTCTCTCTGGTCTCTCTCTGTCTCTCTCTGTCTCTCTCTCTCTCTCTCTCTGGTCTCTCTCTCTCTCTGTCTCTCTCTGTCTCTCTCTCTCTCTCTCTCTCTGATCTCTCTCTCTCTGATCTCTCTCTCTCTCTCTCTGGTCTATCTCTCTCTGGTCTCTCTCTCTCTGGCCTCTCTCTCTCTGGTCTATCTCTCTCTCTCTCTCTCTCTCTGGTCTCTCTCTCTCTGGCCTCTCTCTCTCTGATCTCTCTCTCTCTGATCTCTCTCTCTCTCTGGCCTCTCTCTCTCTGATCTCTCTCTCTCTGGTCTCTCTCTCTCTGATCTCTCTCTCTCTCTGGTCTCTCTCGCTCTCTGATCTCTCTCTCTCTTTCTGATCTCTCTCTCTCTTTCTGGTCTCTCTCTCTCTCTGGTCTCTCTCTCTCTGGTCTCTCTCTCTCTGATCTCTCTCTCTCTCGGGTCTCTCTCTCTCTCTGATCTCTCTCTCTCTCTGGTCTCTCTCTCTCTCTGATCTCTCTCTCTCTCTCTGGTCTCTCTCTCTCTCTGGTCTCTCTCACTGCTCTGGTAAGATAAGATAAGACAGACTTTATTGATCTCACACAGGAGAAATATACATGTCACATCTGGCATGGATAGAATCACTCAAGAAGAAAAAAAAATTGTGCAAAGGAAGAAGTCTGCAAACATGTTAAATGCAGGATATATTTTGTACATTAAAAGTGGCAAATAAGAAACAGTGGCAATAGTAGTGCAAGTCAGTTCAGTCCTAGCGCAAATGACTTAAAGTGACTTATTGTACAGTCTGACAGCAGTGGGGATAAAGGCCCTGCTCCTTCTTACACTGAGGGTGCCTCAGTCTTCACTGAAGGAGCTCCTCAGCTCCTCCTCAGTCCTGTGCAGTGGGAGGTGTTGTTCATGATGGAGGTGGCTTTGACTAGCACCTCCTGTCCCTCACCTCCTCCACAGAGTCCAGGGGCCTCCTGTCCCTCACCTCCTCCACAGAGTCCAGGGGCCTCCTGTCCCTCACCTCCTCCACAGAGTCCAGGGGCCTCCTGTCCCTCACCTCCTCCACAGAGTCCAGGGGCCTCCTGTGCCTCACCTCCTCCACAGAGTCCAGGGGCCTCCTGTCCCTCACCTCCTCCACAGAGTCCAGGGGGGAGCCCAGAGTGGAGCTGGCCCTCCTGACCAGCTTGTTGCGTCTACTAGTAAGTGGTGACACTTACAGTGGTAATGGAGTGAAAGACCCATGTTTGGTTACGTGGGGTCCCAACCCGAACAGTCGGCATTCAGAGCTGGGGTTTGGACTCAGAACAGGTCTCTCTCTGAGACTTGACTCTGAACAAACACAGCAGAACCACAGACCTGAGTCAAGTGACTGGGGGGGGGGTTTGATCAAAGTGTCAGAACTCACAACCAGAACTCACAACCAGAATTCACGACTGCTGAAGTCCGATTGCAGAGATATCAAACCTGTTGGTTGTAGGTCTGACCAGAGAGAGACCAGTGATCAAAGAGAAAGACAGATCAGAGAGGGACCAGGGAGAAAGACCATAGAGAGAGCCCAGATAGAGGCCTTGGAGAGGCTAGAGAGGTTAGAGAGAGAGACCAGAGACAGTCCAGACAGAGACCAGAGACAGACCAGGTTCACACAAGCCACAAAAGATTTCTATAAAATAATTACACACCTCAAAAGTACACCAAGTCTAACCTTATCTCTTCACCACAGTCATTAGTGCTGGAGTCATAAAATTGGAGGAAAGTTTAATTGGAAAAGTTCTGAAAATTCAAGCTACGATGTTCATTAGACCCCCCCCTTCAGTGAGCACAGGGGGGCACCAGTCAGGACTAGAGGCTGCCCACAAGGGCGCACTGGGAGAACCTTTATAGATCTTGAATGTTTTGACTCTGGAATAAAAGCCCTTAGCTCACAGTGCTTTGATTAATGACAATAAGCTTGGGTCTCAGATACATTATAAACAGTATCTGCTACAATCATGCGTCATATTTATATTTAAAGACCTATTTCTTTGTGCAGATTGACTTGACTTCTCCTACTTCTTCCTCAAGGAAAAAGAAACCACACACAAGGTTTCCTGTGGACTGGGACTCTCCGGGCACAGACTCGGGTGCAGACTCGGGTGTGGTTAGACCATGGGCCTTCATTACCTCATGTCCAATCTGCCCGAGGACAGCTGAGGCTGATTAGTGACTGCTGCAGCTGCATATAGACGCAGGACAGCAGCCTGTGGTCAGAGAAGTTGGGTTAGAAATAACACAACCGACTGGCCTTTCCCCACCTCAGTCTGTCCCTGTCTCAGTGTGTCCTCAGTCTGTCCCCTCCTCAGTCTGTCCCCAGCTTGTCTTCAGCATGTCCTCACCTAGGTGTGTCTACACCTCAGCCTGACCCCTGCTGGCCCCTGCTGACCAGAGAGTGCAGAGTTCTGCGGTTAGGCCTAGTCGGCTTCTGACTGTAACAAGGGGAAAATCGTGCTTCCCCAAAGCAGCACCACGTTATTATCCAAGAACCACAGCACTGTGACCCAAACTGAGACCCACAGGTCTCCCGTCCTCTGTGTCCTGTTCTGGCCTTCCGCTACTAACACCAGGGGTCTTTGAGATCATCAACAGCAGTTTAGTGTCATCTAGCCAACTTCTCTGTCTCTATATGTCTCCGTCTCTATATGTCTCTTCCTCTGTCTCCGTCTCTATATGTCTCTCTCTCTGTCTCTATGTGTCTCTCTCTCTCTATATATATATGTCTCTCTCTGTCTCCGTCTCTATATGTCTCTCTCTCTGTCTCCGTCTCTATATGTCTCTCTCAAGTTTGCCTGCAGCTCCACCCAGAGGCTACTCCATCTCTGCTGCTGTTACCTATTGCTGATTATTACTATTGTTCGCGTTTTAGAATTTTGTGGCTAGTGGACACCTGAATTTCTCCTACGGGGATCAATAAAGTATCTATCTATGTGTTTGGGTAAGCATGCAGCTCTATGTGTTTGAGTTAGCAAGAAGCTCTATGTGTTTAGGTTAACATCATGGATCTATTATATTAACTGGAAAGGGTATTACTAGCTTGGAGCTGAAGAACCCATGTGCTCAGGGGATTCTCGCGGTACCGCAGACTAAACGAGACTAAATTCACGTGGGCTACCCAGAAATTATCCCCATAGAACTCAATGTAAACTAAAACAGCTCGACCTCAGCTGACTGTACAGCTCTCACATGGTGTAGGGTTTGGTCGGATTTGGTGGGGATTTTAGTGTCCCTTGTCATCCTGAACTTATTTTCTTTAAATCCACACTTTAGTGCCACAAACTCTGCTCGTTAGGCTCCTGCTCTAGCTCCGCTCTGAGTGGTCAAAGCGTGGCAGAGCCCCTCTGTGCTCGTGCATGAAAGCCACACACAACGCATCATGGGAGCTCGTCCACTGCGCAGAACTGGGAGGACCAGACGATGCCCAAATATGGGCAAGTTCCGCTATTCTTTCGGTTCCCATGGACGCATAAGTGCCACTGAGCACCAGCTGCTGATTTGAATAGGACGCCATCTTGGATCGCCGGGGCTTGGTTAACATGCTAACCAATGTAAGATAAGCAATTACCGTGAGCGAAGCGGTGGACCCAGTAGTAGCAGAGGTCCACTCCCAGCAGGCAGCTCCACCAGGTCCAGGGGGAGTCCCAGGGCAACTCCAGGACACTGTACTTTTCCCACACAAACATGTATGTCGACATCTCGAAGCCTCGAAAAAACAGCCTGACACACACAATGGAAGACATAAGGTCAATGGTACAATTCCCACTACCTTCATGGACACTGTGTGTGATGCTGATGTATGAGAGGCCTTCTACCACAGCTGTGAAGTGAGGTCAGAGACAGTACAGATTGCCACGCTAACAGAATGCTAACCCATGCAAGCTAAAATAAGTCCAACAGGGAAGTGCTCATTGTGAAGTTTGGCTCCTATTGACTTACATGTAAAAGTAAACTCTGTTAGCTCAGTAACCATATGTGTCACACACCATTTTTGGCTAAAATCTGTGATTTAGGGCACCCAGAGTTTTGTCAAGTAGTGTCAGTGTCAGAGGGAGACTGAGACTGAGCTTGAATCTTCAGATCCTGTTTATATGGCATTAACAGTTTAATAAGACAATAAAAGAGCTACTCTCAACCTAGATCTACTGTGGGCCCAGGAGCCTGGATCTACAATTGTTTTACAAATGCTAAAAGGAATATACTCTGCCATTTCTGTTTTATAAAATAGTTCTCCAATCAAAAAGGTTGGAGACCCTTGTTCTAGTGTGATCAGTATTGTGAGTCTCTCACGTCAAAAAATACTTTACGCTTTACACTATCTGTCTTTTTATTAATTGCCTCAGTAGTAGGGGTGTGACGATATATCGATTTTTCGATACATCGCGATACTTTCTCCCGCGATTCGATTATCGATATGCATTTGCCAAGTATCGATATCAATTTAAAAAAAAAAAAAAAAAAAGATATATTTTTTTTTTACTTTTTTAAAAAAAATTGTTATCAATACTTAATATATGGCTACATTACGCATCTCCATTCTATTTATCATGAAATAAAGAGTATTTTTTCTTTCATTTATGCCATAAATTGGCATATTGTATATTTTTGACCAACATATCAATAATCGTCATATCGTGATAAAATCGTTATTGTAATATCGTTATCGTGATATTATCGTTATCGTGATATTATCGTTATCGTGAGCTTTGCATCGTGTATTGTATCGTACCCTTAGGTTCCCACCCCTACTCAGTAGTGGAAAATATCACAATATGCTTCAATGAATAATGTATCACTAGTTACAGCAGACTCAAAGAATAACTCTCAGATCATTTCATTTCTATTTAAATGGAATAATAAAGGAGTAGAAAATGACATGACAAAATGATGACACGATGAATCCAATGGGGTTAAATGCCTGGCTTTTTTGTTTAAATTTCCCCTCCCCCCGGGGATGCCTAGCTGTCCCTATGTCCATTTCTATTTGCACTTGTGCCTCTTTGCACATTAAAACTCTTGTGCCTCTCTGTACATACAAACTCTTGTGGACTCTTCTTTTTTTTAGAGGGACCCAATCTTCCTCTAGACACAAACATAAAACATGACTATTGTTATATCGCATCCGATAAAACGCCTGTCACGGCGGGTCTGTCCACACTTGCAGTCGTGCTGGGCCAAGACCTCCATCTTCTCCGTTTAAAAAAAAAAAAAAAACAATATGCAGGTTTCAGAAATGGTTTCTGCTTACCTCTAAGAAGTATGTTAGAGTACAGTATGTTCTAGAGCAGGGGTGTCAAACCGGTCCTCAAAGGGCCAGTGTGGCTCCAGGTTTTAGGTTCCAACCTGAGCAGGAGCACATCAGACTCCTCCCATTTCCTCAGGTGAGTCCAGTTTTTACATGAAGTTTGCACACCCCTGCTTTAGATAATGTGATTTAAAGGATGACTAAACACCTGTGCCCAACCATACTCTGCCCACATGGACATTTGAACATTTTCTCTAAAAAGGGCATTGCCTGGAGGACCAGGGGACAGTTGGGTGTGGTCTGGGCTATGATTCACAGCTTGCTTGTCACAAAAAACAGACAGTTGTCATTGCTGCTTAAAGCATTAGTTTACAGACCAGAAAGTCTCATTCCACCCTTGTTTACACACAAAGATAATTGTAGAGCTACACACCTGAACCTAAGCCACAGAATTATCTCAGCAGTAGTGGCTGTCAACTAATGTAATTTAATTGAATCCACTAGATGTGGATGGGTTTATATCACTTGCACTGAGAGCAGCACCTCACACAGTACCAACTGACATCACACAGCACTCCAGAGCCAATGGAGAGGCCAGGGTAGAATGAAAGCCGCCACACAGACGGTTTAGGCCCAAAAGAGAGATATTTATCTAATTTGCACAAAAATGTCAACAAATGACACATGTAGAGAGCACTATAAGAAACACATTTATGCAGTTTGAATTTAAAATAAAATTGATTTGGTGTTAGTTGTCCTTTAAGTTCCAAGAGGTAGATCTGTGTGAGGTTAGTTCTGTACAAAGGAGAACAGACTGGGACTGGATATAGTGTTGATAGACTTACTGAGGCAGCCTGGAGACCATGCCACAGGAGATGGTCATGATGATAGTAGGGGACTTACTAAGGCTGGAGATCATGCCCCAGGAGATGGTCATGATGATAGTAGGGGACTTACTAAGGCTGGAGACCATGCCCCAGGAGATAATCATATGTGGGGGACTTACTGAGGCAGCCTGGAGATCATGCCACAGGAGATGGAGGTGAGTCCGTCACCGATGGTGACTATTGGAGTGTCCATCTTCAGGGCCCCCACCAGCAGCTCCAGCAGCATCAGGCCAATGAAGTACGGAGTGGCCTAGACACAACACAGAGAAGGTGAAATTCAAACATCAAACTGCTGTATGTGTACCAGGGTGAGACAGACCTGGTCCTGGTGTGTGAAACTACACTGCTAGTGTGCCCAAATCTGACTTGCGCATGCTCAGAAACCCGCCAGAATGGGAAAAAAACTCGATCTAATTAAATATTTTGTTTGAACACACTAATATAATCATATTGAATACAGTATGATACATGCATAACATTTAATTTATTATTTCCATTATCAACCCGACAGACCAGTCACAGGACGCGTCATGGGCCTGACGTATGCAGCAGTCAACTCAGGGACTGCGATCACACAGCAGCAGTGTAGTTTCACAGCAGCAGTGTAGTTTCACAGCAGCAGTGTAGTTCCACAGGAGCAGTGTAGTTTCACAGCAGCAGTGTAGTTCCACAGCAGCAGTGTAGTTTCACAGCAGCAGTGTAGTTTAGCCGCTGAGAGAGCTGCTGAGAGAGCCGATGGAGTCGCTGATGCGCTGGTAATTGGCTCCTCTATTGTTAGAGGTGTTAAGATCCCAGGAGCCACTGTTCGGTGCTTCCCTGGGGCCAGGCTTGGTGATATTGAAGGGAATCTGAGGCTCATGATGACCCACAAGCAGCGTTTCCGTCGAATTGTTATTCACGCGGGTGGTAATGACGTTCGGCGGAAACAGTCCGAGGTGTTGAAGCTGCAAGTCGCCGCCGTGTGCAAGCTGGCTAGCACAATGGCCGACACTGTCATCTTCTCTGGGCCCCTACCTAGCACTAGCAGTGCAGAAGCATTCAGCAGACACTCGGCTTTCAACCGCTGGCTGTCTGGCTGGTGCCCTCCAAGTGGTGTTGTTCATGTTGACAATTGGAGTGCCTTTTGGGGAAAGCCCGGTCTCATCCGCTCGGATGATATCCACCCAACGTTGGCGGGTACATCCCTTTTGGCTAAGAATTTGGCCCTGGCTCTAAACTGTTCTGCTCGGCTCAAATGACGATGCAGAACTGAGGCCCGGGTGCAGAGCTGCTCTGCCACAACCTCTGAGCCCCCATCTGTTCAGTTACTAGCCTCAGAAGCTAGTCAGATTAAAACTGTGTGTGCATGTGTGTGTGTGCCTGTGTGTGCTCAGTTACTAGCCTCAGACCCTAGTCAGATTGAAACTGTGTGTGTTCCCCGCTTGAAGTCTAAAGCACTATATGCGAGGAAATCTGACCTAGGTGTCAGACACAGTAACTTAATAAAAGTTCAGACAGACAGAAATAGTTCTAACAGTAGGGTTGTTAAATGTGGTTTAATGAACGTCAGATCAATCTCGTCTAAATCGCTTCTCATAAACGAACTTATTATAGACAAGGGCTTGGATCTGTTAGCGCTCTCGGAGACTTGGCTCCAACAGGACGAGTACGTTAGATTGAATGAGTGCACTCCTCCGACGCATGTTAACTACCAGAAAGCCAGAACTACAGGTCGCGGCGGTGGCGTTGCGATTATATCACACACCAACTTGGTTCTTAGTCCCAAAACCAACAACGCTTTTCACTCGTTTGAAAACTTAACACTTTCAATCACCTGTCCTGGGTGGAGAAAACAAAAAGCAGTACTATTTATAGTTTTATACCGACCTCCTGGTCCTTACAGCGAGTTCCTAACAGAATTCTCTGACTTCATTTCAAACCTAGTTTTGGAATGGGAAAACATAGTTATAGCTGGAGACTTCAATATACATGTGGACGACAGCACTGACAGCTTAAACAAAGCTTTCAGCGCCGTACTAGATGGTGTTGGTTTTACTCAGAATGTCGAGGAACCTACTCACATTCATAACCACACCTTGGACCTTGTCCTGACCTACGGCTGTGATGTCTCCAATGTTGACATCCAGCGTCAAAGCTCGTTGCTGTCTGACCATTTCTTGATCACGTTTGATCTCGCTTTGGAGGACTTTCCTGTCCCGCAAGATCAAACCATAATGAAAAGAACCTTAAATGATAAATCTATCACAAGGTTCAAAGAACTAATACAGCCTATGTTGAATACTGCTGCAGGTGAACCTGTTCACAGCAGCTGCAGTCCCTCAGTCATCGACCAAACGGTGGGCAACACTATGGAGTCTTTAAAATCTGCATTAAATGCAGCAGCTCCTTTAAAACAGAAAACCATTAGGATTAGATCATCGTCGCCCTGGTACAGTGTTCAACTCCACACTTTAAAACAGGACGTCAGAAAATTGGAGAGGCTATATCGCCACTCCCACTCGGAGCCTGTCCACAGGGAGTGGAAAGCAGGTCTCCGAAACTACAAGAAGGCCCTTCGCGGGGCTCGAACTCAATACTATTCAACTTTAATAGAAGCGAATAAAAACAACAGTAGATTTTTGTTTGGTACCGTCGCTAAACTCACAAACTGCCATAGCGCAATCGAGCCTAAAATTCCAAGCTCACTGAGCAGTGTCGACTTTCTCCACTTCTTTAATAATAAAATTACATCCATCCGTGACAAGCTGGAGGAGGTTACTCCTGCTGTTAGTGGTGGACAGGTTGAAGCGGCATACGTGACTTCCCACTTAGACTCTTCAGTGGGCCTTAATAAATTCATGGCTGTGAGCCAAGCAGAGGTGATCTCTGTGGTCACATCCTCAAAAGCCTCAACTTGCATGTTAGACGCAGTCCCGACATGGCTCTTCAAAGACATACTTCCTTTGATAATTGAGCCTATCGTAAATATAATAAACGCATCCATACAATGTGGCTATGTCCCACAAGCTTTTAAAACCGCGGTAATCAAACCCCTTCTGAAGAAAACAAACCTGGACCCAGAAATACTTACAAACTACAGACCGATCTCGAACCTCACTTTTATATCTAAAATCCTGGAAAAACTTATAGCTGAGCAGCTCATTTTCGCTGCCACCTGCAGGAAAATGATATGTTTGAAGTCTTTCAATCAGGATTCAGAGCTCATCATAGCACTGAAACGGCACTAGTCAAAGTCACAAATGACTTACTACTAGCTGCCGATAATGGACAAGTGTCAGTGCTGGTCCTACTGGACCTTAGTGCTGCATTTGACACAATAGACCACAGCATTCTACTGCAGAGGCTAGAATGTGATATAGGTCTTAGAGGAACAGCCCTTGGCTGGTTTAAATCCTATTTATCAGATCGATATCACTTCGTCAATGTGAATCAGGACTCGTCGCCTTATTCTGGAGTGGAATTCGGTGTGCCGCAGGGTTCGGTACTCGGACCGATTCTTTTTACTCTCTACATGCTGCCACTGGGAAACATTATTAAAAAGCATGGAATTAATTTCCACTGCTATGCAGATGACACACAGCTTTATCTGTCGATGAAGCCTAATCAGACAGATCAGCTAGAAAAGCTCAGTGCCTGCATAAAGGACCTTAAAATGTGGATGACTCTTAACTTCCTACTTCTCAACCCGGAGAAGACAGAAGTGATCCTACTCGGTCCGAAGCGCCTGCGTGACTCCCTCACTAACCAGATGGTTACTCTCGATAATGTCAGTATAATACCCAGTAACACTGTGAGGAATCTTGGAGTCATTTTTGACCAAGAACTCTCCTTCAAGGCTTATATAAGCCAAGCAACTAAAACGGCGTACTTCCACTTACGGAACATCGCTAAAATTAGGAATTTCCTTCCTAAAAGTGACGCGGAAAAACTCATTCACGCGTTTGTCACCTCAAGGCTCGACTGTAACGCTTTACTGGCAGCGTGCCCTAAAGCCTCTTTGAAGAGCTTCCAGCTCGTTCAGAATACAGCAGCTAGGATCTTAACAGGTACCAAAAGGAGGGAGCACATAACTCCGGTGTTAAAATCACTCCACTGGCTCCCTGTGGAGTACAGAATAAAGTTTAAAATCCTACTCTTAACATATAAAGCCATAAATGGCTTGGCTCCTTCTTATCTCCAAGACACGTTAGTGTCGTATCAACCAAGTCGAGCGTTGCGCTCACAAAACGCCAGACGTCTGGTGGTCCCTAAGGTCTCAAAGGTCACTGTTGGTGGCAGAGCATTTAGCTACCAAGCTCCTTTACTGTGGAATCAGCTTCCATTTATGTTAAGGAAGCAGATACGGTCTCCACATTCAAGGCCAGGCTTAAAGCACTTTACTTTAATTTAGCATATAATTAGGTAATATATAATATGTAGTGTATATATTATATATATATGCTGTATTATGTTATATATTGTTATATATTATTCAATAATGTATTGTGTTATGTTGTATATTATGTTATATATTATGCTGTATGTTATTCTTTATTCAAGGCTAGGTTTAAAACAGTCCTCTTTAGTTTAGCATATGGCTAGGAAGGTAAGACTCAGGAGAAGGTTAAACTCCTCAGAGTGTCAGTCAAGCTGCATAGGGAGTCAGTTTGCTGGGAGAAGTATGGTAACTTGAGCACTATCCTCTCCTCCTTCCTACTTTATCTGTTTAGCATTTTTAGGATTCTGACTGTAGTTTGTTCATTGCTATTCACCCGTTGTCCCATTGTCTGTTTCATGGTACGATGACGGGATCTCTGAGCCTGGCCTCCTCCATCTACACCTGCGGACTGCCCCGCCCGACCCGCCTGGGAGTGCTTCGGTCCTGCACCGGACCTGTCCACGTTCAGCGTCCACTGGTCCACGTTCTGTAGCTAGCTTAGGTCCTAGATCATTAGTCTGTCCGTCCGGAGGAGCGGATCCCTTTCTCATATGGGTCTCCCTCCCTGTGGGTTTCCCTAGTTCTCCTCCAAGGTTTCTCACTTTTTCCCACTGGGTTTTTTAAGAGTTTTTCCTTGTCGATGCAGGAGGGTCTTGTTGGACAGTTAGTGTCCAACAGAAAGGATTGGTGATGATCAGGACACTTTAGCATTCTACAACATGTATGGACATTTTCTTCTGTGTGTGCTTTATATTCTTCATGTGTTTTAACTGTTGATTCTCTGACCTGTGTTGGTGATTTCAATGGTT